ATGGTGGTCACCCCCCCTTTACAAACTCATTCACAAATGCTCTCATATGAAGAGGTAATAGCAACATAAAATCAAGTAAAATTTTCAAGTGTCAATCCTGCCTGGTTTTCAGCCCTTTTTCCTGTGTTTTGAATACAATGGAAATGTTTGAAATTATCAACACACAAGGAAATACTACAGAAAAACTCAAAGACAAGAAAAACCTGAGGAATTAAACATCAGCGCTCCCATAAGCCCTTACTGTTCACGGTCTCAGAATGACCTTGACATCAAACTGGAAGTGTGGAAACATTGAGTAAAATGGTTACTTTTATTAGAAAGTGTCAGTAACTTACCAAAAAAACTACAAATACACAAAAACTGAAGTAAATAAAAAAACCCAGGTACACCAAGATAACATAACTACTTTCCAACCTGTTTCCAGATTTTCAGGTACTTTCAAGAAGCGGAAATTATCAGTTACACTGTCTTCAAACAAGACTCATATTAATGGGAAATAAAAGGTAATGCTGAGAGTAAACAGTGGAAGATAAATAAATCCAAGTGAAAAAAACCCAGAATATTTAAGGCAACGCATATGTGCTACTCTATATATAGTGCTACACAGAAATATGAGAAATAAAGCCATATAATAGCTTTAACTAGCTGGTTTAGGTCTTCAAAGCAAAGCAGCTCTCACAAAGAACTGCTTCAACACTGGTACTGCTTCTGCTGCTCACACTCAAAGTCCAGTATACCTTATGCCAGTTTTCAGCCATGATAAAATCTGAGGAACTCTACTTCTCAACGAAATAGGGGTAAATTACTTCATTTACAGCACACACATTGCTGGGGGTTTTTAATAGCAACCGGTATATCATGTAAGTATAGCTATTTACAAAGCTAATATGTCCTTCCTCCACCCTGTTTATAGTCCTCACTGATCTTTCATCATAGCTACACAATGGCATAGTGTAAGTGGCTAAGTATAGCAAATCAGACTCTGGTCAGCAGCATACACATTTATGGTATCTTACGGCAGGATTTACTTGTTCTTTACTAGTACTTAACATTATGTTCTGCCTGTGTTAAAAGCGCTCCTAGTTTAGGCACAGGTAAATAGGCAAACCATGTGTGTACAACCTTGCTAATATTAATATCCCAGCATGCAAAATAAAGTATAAGTAGTATGAAGGAGAACCTCTATATCTGCAACACACTCTATACTAAGTGTTTCTGCAGTTTATCAAAGAACAATCTAATCTTCTCTTCAAAGATCTATTTAACTTCATATATAAAATGCATCAATTCATTTATTAGGTCAGGATTACTTATGAGGCTGGCAGTCTTGACTATTTTATTTCTGGAGTAAAGTTATTTTGCTTCAGAAAAAGTAATTTTGCATACAAAACCAACTGCACACCCAATAAAGATAAGGGTATTATCCAGAGTTCTTAATTATTACTTCTGTGCTCACACTGCACAAGGTAGAGTTTCGTCACCCATAACATTACTTTGTTCCCACAGGAGTGGAAGCAAAGTTGAAAACTCTGCAATTTAGAGTAAGGGAACACAATTCTAAGAAACGGAGAATGGCTACTTAAGATTAAACTGAGTGAACAGAAGCCTCCAACACATAGATTTTATGGCTGAGCTGAAAGCACAGCGCTGGAATAAGGGAAAGACATCTAGACCTAAACATTCTTCCTCTATAAACTTTTTGGCATGTTCAATTTTAAATTTGGGGGTTTTAAAATTAAAAAAACTGCATAATAAAAGTTTCTGGAGTAGGGATTAAAAAGCCATAGATTGCAATATATTTGCTAAATTCGTCACCCTTGTAATCAGGGAACTGAAGAAAATCAGGCTTAGCAAGCCCTTTAACTTAAGTTTTCTGGAGATTCAATTTAAACTGATCTGAACTCAGTTAGTGATACATAAGAAAGTTATCCAATACCTATGACACTTCTCTGCATAACATGACAAACACTATGTTGGAGACCGACTTCTTAAAAAACTGCAGAGTAATCATCTAGGAAGCATTGGTTACTAATACTCAATGTGGATTTTTGATAACTGAATCCACTCACCCTCACTTTCCTCATTTGCAAAGGATCTATAAAGCCACTATATCCTACACCTCTTGTTCTTTCAGGTTACTTTCTCATTTTGTTTTCCATAATCATGAAAAGCGATAAGGAGGGAGAAAATGACCAATAGACAGTAGACAACATATTAGTCCAGGCTGTATCCCATTAAATACAGAGGATTATATTGAAAAATCTAATATTAAAGTGGATGACTCAACAGTTTCTGAAATTCTCATAAGGAAGATTACTTTCTACATAAGTTAAAGGTAGCTAAGGTGATGTGCTTTTATGCAGTCAGTCTTCCTTTTTGTAGCACAGTAATCTCTCAACTTCAAAGGCCTAAGTAGCATAACCGAGAGCCAACAAGAGGTGTACAACACGGTGATCAACATTTAATTAGCTGTTAAAAGTGTACAGCTTTGCTTTCACACATAATAAGGTAGACTAACGTCAGTAAACTTTTCAGCATTACTAGACAGAGGGCCAAGAGGGCTTTTGAGAAGCTGGACAGCTGCAATAAGCATCAGGAGCATGCTTATATATATTTTTATACATATATATGTAAGTGTGCAGAAATTTTTAATTTAGCTGCAAAAAAAAAAAAGCCATCACACTAATCAGCCCAATGCATTTTGGTCTTTCATCAAGCTCATACTATTCTGTTACCACAAAAGGAACTCATAGGTAACATCTATTCCTTCTTGCAGACACATCAGCTTATTCAGAACTAACGCTGATACCTATACATGGCTTGAAGTGCTTTGTTTAATCATAGCTCAAGTTACAAAGATACTGTTCCAGAGTGCTGGAACAACATTACTGCATTGAAAGATGTTACCACGTCTGTAGTAACAGTTGGAAGTGGAGGGGTTTGTTCCTTCACTAGGGTTACTGCTATAATGATTGACACAAGTTCATGCACTCTCCCCAGGGTCTTCTGGAGGTTTTCATACAGACAGAAAGGATATTAAGCACACAGGTAGCCGTGAGATGCAACAACACTCAAGCAGTCTTCACTTTCCCCTACTAAGTTCTTCCAGACTTTCTGCAAGCCTGGAAGACCTCCAATTCTATTGCAGGACAAAACAAACCAACAAAGCAAAGCAAGAAAACACCTCTAAGCCGAACCCTTTCAAGGAGAATTCCTGCGCAGCTTTTAACAAGACCAGAGAACATTCCTGAAAGAAATGAAGTATGACTACAGGAAAAGAAAATCCTGGGAGAAACAAAATATGCCTAAAAGGTTCCAAAAAGTCTTAAAACAACTGGTAAAATGGTGATGAAAATGCTCACCTCTGTCTGTGCGTTTGATAAATGTATTATGATTCTCCAAGGGCTGTCCTAGCATTTTCCAATGAATGTTATTCTTTTTCTTTAAAATAATCTCTACTTTCCCAACTTTTTCAGCAATATTCACTAGAAGAGAAAAGGTTTCATACCACTACTTTAACTTACATTTTGTAAAAAAATAATAAAAAAAAATTACTCTTCCATTGTAATAAAATTTTAGAAGGATTAGTCATTTCTCAAGACACACGGAATTAATTCATTAAATTATGAAATCAAATGTACTGCCAGCTATCTCTTTATAATGTTTTACAGTGCATTTAAAACAACAAGCACTAACTTAATATGCATAATTAATGTATCTTATTTACTAAACACAGTGTAAAAAGCTTCAAAGCCCATCTGGTCAAAAAGAATGCTCATGAATTCAGAGTCTTCATTTATTGGAAAATGGTAACTACCACTATTTACTTCTTCCTTTCTTTTCAAGGCCATTTGAATGAATAATTAAATCCAAGAAAATCACTGTCTAAGCAAAGAACAGTTTACAAATACACAACGAAACTAACTTCTAATTATTTTAACATTCAGTCATACTCAGAGGGATCAGAGCACCAACTTAATACTTTCAGAGGCCCAAATGACACAATTTTAAAAAGAAATTATTCAATGTTATGGTTTGATTTGATTGTGTCAGAACCTGGTAGTAAGCAAAACTGAAGTATCTGATGAGTCAGAAAAATAAACTGAAGTTCCACATTCTGATATCAGAAAAGATACAGAAGTGCTGCAAGAGACGGAACATACCAGCCAAGTCTTCTTCAACTGCATGATCTAAGTCTGAAATAGAAAAAAAACCTCTTATTTTAAGCAAAACTAAAATTACATTCTGGTCATCATATATACATACAGTTTGAAGGTAGAAATACGGAGTGAACTTATTAGTTGCCTAGAACCCTATACACCTTTATCTGGCCCTGAAATTTCACTCATGCATCATATCACTCCCAGTGACTTCTGCAGGTCTAATACAGAACATTAAGAAAGGCATCATTTTCCCCATTACTTTAACAATGATTCATGTAAAGCTAACAATCTACATCTAAATCATTCCACTTGCCCTTTTTGAATAAGGGCATTTTAATAACCATCAAAAACACACTTGAAGAAAAATTTTATATGACTTTTACATCACTTTCTTACTACATCTTATTCCACATGTAAAAAATTAAGTACATACTAAACAAATGAAGATGCAAGTTGATAAACAATTCCTTGACATCAAAGTACTTTAAAGTACTCATCTCTAATGAAAGAGGAATAAAGTATTAATCACTCTATGTAAAATGCATATAGTCTGATGAGAGGGTTTTAATAGAGTAAAATGAAAACTCAGTATTTTAAACTGCAAAATTACAGTACCTACCAACTTCTACAAGATATGAGTGGTCGTCCACAATGATCTCTCCCCTTAATCGTTTGTCTTGACAGTCAACTATCACCAACTCTGCATTCATATCCTTTCATAGACAAGGGAAAAAAAATTTATTAATAAAGTTTTCCCAGAATTCAAGCTGGATCACAAGTGGATCTTGTAATTCTCTCTTTCATAAAATATACTTACCTTCTGCTTAGTATATATGACAATTGTGATCAAACTATCTGTTTGGAACCAGTCATAACTGTAAAACAAAAAATACAGTAAAGAAAAAAATATATACTTACTTTGGGCATACAAAAATATATTTAACTAGCAGTTTTCAAGCAGAGCTTCTTTCATTAATTTACAAGCCAAATACATTATTTACTATTTTTTGAAGAGATAAGTCCAGAGCCAATAATTTTGAAAAGAATATTAAAATAAGAACAGTCTAATTATGCATCTTGATAGTCAGCACATTGTAACTAAAATTATATAGCATTGGTTTTACTTAAAAAGCATGTACATCCTCTTTGCACCGTATGAACCTTCCTAACAAGGTGATTCAAATCCTTGACTCCAGATAAAAGTATTAAATAGCCAGGGTGGCATCCAGGAGTTATGGATTCCCCACACATACCGTAAAACCACAGTTCTCTTCATCTCCCCAAATCAAGATTTTACACTCCTATGTTCCCAAGCTCCCCAAACCTTGTAATAAATCCAAGGTAAGAAATAGAAAGTCTTCAAATGTTAATTGCTTGTATCACCTTAACACTTGCCAAGCAGTAACTTACCCATCCAGCCCCAGAAAAGCTATTCCTTTCTCTAGCCTTTTTCCTGGGGACCATACATCTGACAATCTCATGCCTGGCTCTCCATCGTATAACATCTGTAACTCTCACCTGACGCCAGCATCTCAAAGATTGCAATCCTAGCAAGTGAAGCCAACTCTGTCCTCACAACAAGGTTAACCCCTCGCATCTTCTCACTTCCCCAATGTCCTAACCGCTTCTGTCTACTGTTTTTTCTGGACTCTTAGACCAGAAAAAGAAGGCAGAGAAAGAGGATGCGCCCTCTAGCAGACACTCCTGATGGCCAACACGTTCTAGGTTATATATCTTCCAGTCACACACTAGAACATGCCAGACACACACAGGAAGAAAGGCGGCAAGGTTTGGGGACTGCTCCAGAAGGTAAGTCACATTCCAGTTGTTCACAAGCCACAATATTTTACATGACTGCATGTAACTAGCCCAAAGATTACACATTCACAGGAGATATTGATACAAAGTGAGAAAGTGCACCTTGGTGGCTCAACCCATCATGGAGTAAAACCATACCTCAGTGACAACAGCAGGCATATCACAGTGGGGTTTTAGGGCCTGCTTTGAGTATTGTAGAAACTTGACTACAGCTATCACATCTTAATATATTCCAGCTTGAAATGAAGTACTTTTACAGGGCATGCCAACTCATACATTTATGGAAAAATTAACTAAAGTCAAAAAAGAAATCAGCCCAGTTGGGGTCACTTTCCAGGAGTTTTCTCAAGAAGCAAGGCTGAGGAACCTGCAAATATAAGCCACACATTTGCATATGATGCAAAGCAGTACAAGTGTTAGAAAACAACAGAGCAAGCCAAGAACTCTGCATCATCATCTGCCTATATGGTCAATAGGATCTTCGGCAAGTCGTTTAAACCTGAATCTCAACTTTCCTAAGATGCTGCTAATAATATATACTCATGTAGCTGAAACATCAAGAACTAACCATGGAAAAGGTTGCCAGCATTTACTAAGAAATGCACAGAATTATTAAGTGGAAAGTTCAACAGACAGCGAAAGACAAAGGTTTACCTTAGAGTTAAATCTTTAGCAGAAGCAGCCAGTACTTTCTTCTCAGGAAGCATACCTACAAAGAGCAGAGAGTCATTAAAATATTTGCTGTGATGCTCACTTAATAGAAATCAAAATCAGAGATAGTTTATGTTTTTTTAAATTGAGTGTTCTGAATACATCTCCACAATATTTAGTGGCTTTATTTCCACAGGCAGACAGAAGTATTCATGTACTTTTTAAATTTTGTTTTTATTCCAGCACTTTCTCTTGGAGAGCAGGCTCCTAGAACATGAAGTTCCACTTCAGAAATTAAGATATCTATATACCACAGAACCTGCGCATGCAGTCCTTCTGGTACACGTAGCTTGGTCTCAGTTTCATCTGTTATTAGCTTGTGCTTTCACATTTTGTGATAGCGAAGCATGGAAAAAAGGTTATCCAAATTAATTTCCTCTAATGGAACTATTTGTTTATACAATTCAGATGAACAAATCCCATTTGGGATGTCTGGTCTAACCTAATTTACAAGTAAAATTTCACATCAGTCAGTAAAGCAAAGATATCAGCCTTAATATCTCTACTTTGCACTTTCCTAGCAATTTTCACAGAATTCTGCTACTAGCTTTAATTATTAAACAACATGAAAGAGTCTGAAAAAGCCTTTGCTAGGAGGCAACACTTGGTCACTGTTCGAAAACGTCAACTGTACTAATCTCTGGCCTTATAGAAACTGAGCATACTTGGCAAAAACTTGAGCAGACATGACAGATAAAAGCAACTGCAATCCTTCATCAATTTTAATACAAGAAAGTGATACAGAATCATGATGGAGGAAGCTGCACAGACTGAACTATAAAGTGATTTGTAACACCACATGAACAGCAGAAGTTTTCCTGGACAATCACAGAATCATTGAATGGTTTGGGTTG